GCCGCCAACTACCCATCGACAGTTCATCCAAGTTTATTTTATTTCACAAGCCTTTTATTACGTATCGATGCAAACTTTGTACAATTAGTCATTAAATGCGCTGTGGCTATTTCACATTGAAGAAAGACACCCAAAACTTCGTATATATTTATATCTATAGAATAATTCATATTTCATATAGAAATTGCGTTATTCCTAGCTTGACTAACATTGTTATTCCCTGGGGGCAGATTTTTGAACGTAGCGCCTTGCGCTTTGGTATATACTCACTTTTCAGAAAGATCGGACTATAAACTCCGAAGTTATCTGAGAGTGCATTAAACGTATTTAGTGGGTGGGCGAAGGAAAGAGGAAGCACAGCTGCTGCATCAATTTTTCTTTCTGTTTTGGCATCTCTTTATATATTCATACATCCAGCATTTATTTTACTTTCATTGTGGTCTCGATTTAACGATTTCTACTCTCTGAATTCGTCCTCGCCTCATCCAATCTTTTTCTTTAAGAAACAACTTTGCAATAAGAATCTCGAAATGATTTTCTTGAAGTTTGCATTGCGTAATGTCAAATTCAAATTCTGGACATCTCTAATTCCTGGTTTTGATATTACCAAAACGATTTCTTAACTATTTAGTTCGATAACTCTTATACTTATCTGCTTAACCTGAATATAACTTCGTCTTTCCTTGGTAAATCCTTAATTCCACAGTTTTTGGTTTTATCCTGCGTACCATTCCGATCTGAGAAAGATTCGGATCGTAGAGCTGCTCTGCCATATCCACGAAGGCTTTTATAAGCCAAAACTTGGTTCATTCTTTTGTTTCTTCGAATCTTAATCTTTGAATCATAAGTATATTTATACTTATACTCTATAGCGATAAATGACTTTAGAGAGATACCCATATGAGAATATATAAAATATATATACTTTTAACATAACCTATATATAACAGTATACCAAAAAGTTTTATTCTTGTGTATTCTTCCGATTTCTTTAGTTTTTTCTCATGAAAAAAAAAACACTGGACAAATCAGCTAAATTGATATGTGCTTTACAAGGGAGAACTTTTCGGAACCAGAGTTAATTTGCGAATAAGTAAAAAAAGAGTTGTGATTTAGATTTTGTATATTTGATTTGTGTATTATGTATACACTATCCTCTATATATACTCTATATACTCTATATATAATCTATACTCTATACTCTAGATACTCTATATAGCCTCCATATACTCTAGATACTCTAGATACTCTGTATATACTCTATATACTCAATATACTCCATATACTCTATATACTCTATATGTTCTCTATATGTACTCTATATACTCTATATATACTATATATACTCTATATATTCAATATACTCTATATACTCCATATACTATATATATTCTATATACTCTATATGTTCTCTATATGTACTCTATATACTCTATATATACTATATATACTCTATATATTCAATATACTCTATATATTCAATATACTCTATATACTCCATATACTCTATATACTCTATATATAATCAATACACTCTATACTCTAGTTACTCTATATACACTATATATTCTATATACTCTAGATACTCTATATATACTCCATATACTCTATATGTACTCTATATGTATTATATACTCTATATACTCTATATGTAGTCTAATACTCTGTATATTCAATATACTCTATATGTACTCTATATACTCTAGATACTCCATATACTCTATATATTCTATATATAATCAATACACTCTATACTCTAGTTACTCTATATACACTATATATTCTATATACTCTAGATACTCTATATATACTCCATATACTCTATATACTCTATATGTACTCTATATGTATTATATACTCTATATACTCTATATACTCTATATGTAGTCTGTATACTCCATATACTCTATATGTACTCTATATACTCTAGATACTCCATATACTCTATATATTCTATATAGTTTGTCTACCCTATATTTTATATGCAATAAATTCTAGCGGAACTTTTCAAGTATAACATGCTTTAAAAAAACATGTATAACATTTGTAGTCCAGGATTTCTAGATAATTCTACCTTGTAAAAGTGCTTATAGACGAACGAGCTGTGCTTATGTGGGTTATATCATATATACATATATATGTATATATGTATATGTGTATATTATAATAACAATATTAAGAGCTGATCAGCGCTTCGACTTATTGATTTGCTTTCATTTGGCTCGATTCGGGCTGGTTTTGGGCCTGGCTAAGTTTCGGATTGGGTTACGCGTGCGCGCCGAGTTCCTCGAGTATTGCTGTCTCCAAGTGTCGCCCCAGCCCACTCCACATCGACAAATCCGCAGGCCCGACTCGTTCATATATATACATATACATATATATACATACATATATATATATGTATATGCATGCATATATATGCGGCTCGTTGTTTGCGCCTGCGCTTGTGTGTGTGGGCTTATGCTCCGCATTCGCAGGCAGACAGCACGGCGTCGGCCTGGGCCCAATAGCGTTTGCCCCCTACCCCTTCCCCTCCCGCACCGCCAGCAGACGGCCGGCTCTGTGTCGCTTTATATGTGTGCCTCCCCTCTGCCGCTCTGCTGCTCTGCCCACACGATGCCCACGACAGCGATCGCACCGCGCCCTTTGTGCTTGAAGACGTTGGCTGCCCCGCGTCCGCCCCTTGCCCGTTGACCAAATGATTTTTGTTTGATTTTTTTTTTATTATATTTCAACTTTTTAATCAATTCATGTGTCTGTCTCTGTCTGCTTGTGTGTGCGTGTGTGTGTGTGTGTGTGTGCATCTATTGTGTGTATAGGTTTTCGATTTTTACGTTACCTTTACCTTTTTATATTCAATTTTTATCTCTTTGCCTGCGTCTTTTCCGCTTTTTACTTGAATGTGTTTCTTTTCTTCTTCTTTTTTTCGTTTATTTTTTTTTTTGTTTTCTTCTTTTTGATAAATCGATTTAGAAGCCGACGGGGCCACAAAAGTGGAATTCTTTTGATTTTATTTTAAACACACACACACACACACACACACACGCACGCACACACACGTATGCAGCGCTGCCTGTGTAGTTGTTGCTTTTGTTGCTTTTTTTTTGAAGTTTTCGTTTTTTTTCAACTTTTTTCTCTGCTGTTTTTGTTATTCCTTGAGCGCATGTTGTTTTTGTTGTTTGTTACTTGGAAATGCAATTCAAAAACATTTTCATGTGCATGCGTCGGCGTTTGGTGGCGGGGAGGGGGGTTAGCGCTCAACGTTGCCAGACAACGCGTCGTTCCTTTTTTTGGGGCGTGTTGGGATGCCAGCAAAAGCAACTAAAAACAAGAAGAAGAAGAAGAAGAAGAAGAAGAGGAAGATCGCAAAGGCGACGACGTGGGAATCTATGCGCGCTGCCCAGTGTCCTCTCTTGACTGGAAGCCGCTCTTAACTCCAACTTGCACTCACTCGTTCATTCGCTCGCCCTGTCTCCCTCACTCCTAGGCGTGAGCATTGCCGACTAGCAGCGATCTATCATCGGGCATCATCAGAGCGGCCGTCGCCTTCTGCTTTGACTAGGTGAGTCAATGCTTTTTTATCTGCATTGTTGTTGTTGCTATTGCTGCTGCCTTTGGTCGAGCACCTCTAATCGTGTTGCGTGCGTCTCTCGGCTCTTTCGCTTATGCCTCGTTTTTGGTCTCTTGCGCCCTCGCTTCAACTGCTGTTCAATATCGCACGCGCAAATGATGCTGCCAGAAGAAACAACAACAACAACAACAACTTGCCATAGACAGAAAACACATTTTTTATTTGTGAATTTGCATACACACGCAGTCATCACAGCCGCAACAACAACAACAAGAACATCAGCAAAGTCACACAAACACATGCATATGTGTTTCATTCATGAATTCCAGTTGACGACGATCGCCGCGACCGAAGCAGAAGCAGCAGCAGCGGCAGAGACAGCGACATAAGCAGCGCCGATTTTTGTCTCTGCGCGTTGAGAGCACAGAAAATTTCGTTTGTCATTTGCAACAAGTGCGGCCCACAATTGCTGTTGTTGTTTTTGTTGCAATTGCTGTCGTTGTTATTTTAATGCAGTTGCATTTGCGTTTGCTGTTGTTGTTGTAGCTATGCCCTTTTGTCTTTGAGCTTAGTCAGGTGGGGGCGACGGCAGCATCGCTAAGCGATAATGCACCCACAGCCAAAAACAATGTATGTCTGTATGTATGTACACACATTCATATGCACAAACATCTATAGCAACCACGAAGCATGTACACTCACTTACAAAAAAAAAATGCATCGCTCTCATAATGGAATAACATGTTATTCCATCGTGAGCCAGCACAGCGCATTACACATTCAACAGTTGATTCTCGATTGTGTACGTAATACACACACACAAACATAAATGCATGCACAGAGCATAAGCGCAGAGCGCGAGAGTCAGAGAGGCAATGGCATGGCGTGCACTCAACCCCCCCTTCCACCTTAAATCACACACACACGCACACACACACATCATGCGACGGCAAGCGCTCAACAAGTTCATGTGACGATTTGACGCTGCGTCGCCGCGTCGAGGCGACAGAGCAAAAGCAAAAGCACCAAACATGTCGGCCGGGCCGAGCCCTAGTGCCAGAATGTCTGGCAGCCACGACTCACACACACTCGCACACATGCACGTGCACTGTTCATGCACTCTGCGCTGCATGTGTGTGTGTGTGCATTTATCGGTGTAAACTGGCAGAGCTAGCGAAATTGTAGCGCAAGTTGGCAGCGGCCGCCGCAACGAGGTTCGCAGTCGTCGCTGTCGTTGTCGCTGCTGCTCCTTTGGCGCACAGCCACAAGAGCAGCAGCACAGTGTGGCAAAGCTTTCGATTACGAATGTCTAATTAGTTAGCTAGAATAAAGTTTAAAATGATTGCATATACATTCTATAGCCCTGTAATTGTTTTTGTTAGTTAAATAGTTTTGATAAGAAAAGAAAATATGCACACATATAGATGTA